TTTTTTTTTTTTTTTTTTTTTTTTTTTTTTTTTTTTTTTTTTTTTTTTTGTTTCTTACTTATTTTGACGATCTTTACTTTATTCATTTTCATATGGTACTTGCCTAAATGATTTATTTACAGGGAATTCTCTTAACAGGAGCCCCTGGAACTGGAAAAACTTTACTTGCTAAGGTAAAACTTCACTCAGTTTTCCTATAAAAGAGATTATATTCTTTATTAGAATTGCAATCATCTATGCTAGGTTTTCTTCATGGCTTTGTTGGCTTTCATTTTGTTGATCTTCTGTTAAACAATATGTTTACTACTTTGGCCGATAGCTGACTGGTATTTTGTCGTGCCCCCATTAGAGCTCTGGTAGTAGTAGATGCACTTTAGATTAAATTCTAGAAACAATGGTTGTTCTTTTTTGTTAGATAAGATATTTCTTTTTGTAAATTTTCATTAGCAGATGCAGAAGTACTCTTCAGGAGCCATTTCTTTTTCTTTTCATCTTCAGTATTCCCACGCTTTGTACATCTTTCTTGCCTATAAAGAATATCGCCCTCTTTATTGATGCTTACTTCAGAAAGAAAGCCATTAGTCGCACACAATCAGTCCTGCGAAGATATTTCTTGTTCACCTAACTTGGCTGCTTCCCATCACAGAAGACAGATCAGTGAAGTGTAGGGGCGGGTTTTTTTTTGGTCGGAACACCAGCTTTTCCAAAGATCCTTGGGATTAGCACTAAGCCATACCAAGAAAATGACTGCAAACCTACTGATATAGTTCCAAACCTACTGATATAGTTAATGCCTTGAGATTTACTTATCATGTATAATTCCAAACCTACTGATATAGTTAAAATTTTGTCATTTCTTTGGTAGTTTCATAATATCACGTTTTCAATATTATCTCAGAGTTCTTTTTCTGGAAGACATGATTTATTTAATTGTTCAGTCTGAAATGTAATTATTTTTCTGTTGTCCTCAAGGCTATTGCTGGTGAAGCTGGAGTACCATTTTTCTACAAAGCAGGATCCGAGTTTGAAGAAATGTAAGCCTCATTAACGTCCATTTTTCCTCGCCAGAGATGTGAATGTATATGTTAATATTATCATACAATTATAGTCTACTCAAATCAGTGAGTATTTGCCTTGTAATGATTAACAACAAATTAATGGCAAGGTTTAGAATATTATTCTTGCAAAGTTGACTTTAAAAAAACATTTAAAAGCTTAATTATCAAAATCAATCGAGTAAAGAATTTCATACACCAAAATATAATGAAGTTTGCGACTTAGACGATGATTTATTTCTATGAATGTCAATCGGTTAGGAAAATAATAAGAACTATTTGCTTTATTTCCTTCTATATGTAGATTTGAATTTTACATGGAGGGCTTTGGTGTTTATGATGTTTCATGCTCACGTCTTTAATGTAATGTAGAGACTACCAGCTTTAGGATTGTGGGACTTTCTGAGTATTACTTTAGCATTAGTGATTCCGACTCGCATTGTACTTTCAATTGGCAGGTTTGTTGGTGTCGGTGCTCGGCGTGTAAGATCATTATTTCAAACAGCCAAGAAAAAGGTTTGTATCCCTTTGTCAAATTTCAATAACTTTAGTCAAGTTCGGATAACTCGACTAAAATAATGTTGCATTCAGGTAACTTTAGTCACGGAAAAAAATGTCTAACCTATTGACAAATTTAGAGCGTCAAAGCATCCAAGTTCTATTATAATATTGATCTTTTCCCCGTCCTTCACAGGCTCCTTGCATCATTTTTATCGACGAAATCGATGCTGTTGGGTCCACTCGGAAACAGTGGGAAGGCCACACGAAGAAGACATTGCATCAACTTCTTGTTGAAATGGATGGCTTTGAGCAGAATGAGGTACATCAGAACAATTTGTTGCATGTTGTGAGATAGATTACTTATTCATTAAGATGTACAATTTATTACTTTTTTTCTTTGCAGGGCATCATATTGATGGCTGCTACAAACTTGCCAGATATTCTTGATCCAGCTTTGACAAGGCCCGGTAGATTTGACAGGCATGTAAGTTCCTTTGAAGCTCTGTTTGTTTTTTCTTTTTCTTTCCTTAAGAAAGATGTATGAACAAATGAACAACAAGGATGATTTAGTTGGTGCATTTGTGTTGTTATGAATTGAAATATGGAGGGTTTATTTAGTGCAAATCTATTGTACATTTCTTCCTGCTGCAGATGTTATGTCCTGAGTCTAAGCCTTTTCTCGTTTAGAGATAGTCGATTCGATTAAGGTTTCTATTTGGGAAAAATTCTAGCGCTTTTTCGATGTTTGTGGAATCATTTTGTTCATTGATAGCAGGATCCGAATGTGCGATATCCAGTTCTTAAGCCAATATAATAAAAACTAACAACATTCATTTGTAGATCGTTGTCCCAAACCCTGATGTACGGGGTCGCCAAGAGATTCTAGAACTCTACTTACAAGACAAACCGTTGGATGAAGATATAGATGTGAAAGCAATTGCTCGAGGCACGCCGGGATTTAACGGGGCAGGTAAGTCTTCAAATACTATTTTAGATCTTTATCTTGCTGAATTTTCTTAACAACCAACATTTGTTTTCTTGTCAGATCTTGCAAATTTGGTTAACATTGCGGCCATTAAAGCTGCTGTTGAAGGTGCAGAGAAGTTGAACTCTTCACAGTTGGAGTTCGCAAAAGATAGAATAGTTATGGGTACTGAGAGAAAAACAATGTTTTTATCAGAAGAGTCGAAGAAGGTTATATAAATGTCCGAGGAATCATTAATGCTTTTAGTTATTTCAATTAAAGCCTATTTGAATGATATTTCAAGTTCCAAAATATTGTATGAATGCTTGCTGATGCATCTCTTTCATTGTAGCTCACTGCCTATCATGAGAGTGGTCATGCGATCGTTGCATTTAACACCGAGGGTGCGCTCCCGATTCATAAGGCCACGATCATGCCTCGTGGGTCTGCTCTAGGAATGGTCACACAACTTCCTTCAAGCGACGAGACATCTATTAGCAAGAAGCAACTATTAGCACGACTCGACGTTTGTATGGGAGGAAGAGTTGCAGAGGAACTCATATTTGGGCAGGACAATGTCACCACTGGAGCAAGCAGTGATCTTCACACAGCTACAGAGCTTGCCCAATACATGGTACTTGGTACTTCACTAGATTAGATATTTTTACAATATCAGCCTCTCCCAAATGTTTTATGGACATTGCTTTCTCATTCTCAATGATGTTCTTGAAGGTATCGAATTGTGGAATGAGCGATTCAATTGGACCGGTTCATATCAAAGAACGTCCAAGTTCGGAAATGCAATCCCGAATCGATGCAGAAGTATGTTTTTTAGTACCTCCAGCCATTTGATTGATTTGGCCAAGCTAAGCTAATTCCTGCCAAACGTTTAAAGTATGTAATCTGTTGTGCAGGTGGTTAAACTCCTAAGAGATGCATATGATCGCGTGAAAGCCCTCTTAAAAAAGGTTCGTTTTACATTTCGACTCCGACTCCACTCCATTTCTTGTTTCCTGGAGATTGAAACAAGTTTTAAGGAAACTAAATCAGAGAACAACAATCTCACATCAGCATTTCAAGTTCTGTTCTAACGTTTGCCATGTTTATTTCAGCATGAAAAGGCATTACATGCACTTTCAAATGCTCTGTTAGAATATGAGACACTCAATGCTGAAGAAATAAAGAGGATTCTACTTCCTTATCGAGAAGGACAGCTGCCAGAGCAACAAGTAGAAGTAGAAGAAGGGGATCTTGTGTTGGCTTGAAGTTCTCTGACGTTTGCATCAGTCTCCATTGTCATCTCTGTAAAGTACCTGAAACAACCGTGAAAGAGAAATATTTATTCTGATACATAATGGTGGGGTTATAGGCAGTAATTGTAGGATCCTAGCATCTTCTTTAGGCAGATTGTGTATTATACCACTTTCCACAAGTGGGGTGAATTTTTGGCACACAACAATCAGTCCCTTTACATTTTTTTTTCACGCAAGTTATTTATAATTGTGCCAATGGAAGAACGCATTTGTAATCTGTGACATTTTTTTTTTCTGATGACGGTACGTGTAATTTCTTTATGTTTGATGTTACTGTCGGTGAATAAAAACTATTCTTCAAATATATCTATTTAACCATAAGATCTCTAAAAAAACAAGGCTATTCTAAACTTATATGTTAGATAGATAGATTATTAACACTAAGACGAGTGTTCAAAATATAGCTTGGTTGATTCTTTTTTGGATTTTCCACTTGTGGGCGTCTAAACGCATTTCTGTATTCATTTGTTCACGTGTCATGAATCTGATGATGATGACATGTTCTTAGATTCAGCCCCTAGTTTACTGTCAAGCGGGTAAGCCAGCTAGAGGGAGAGAGAGAGAGATATGTACTCACAGTTTGCAGGTTTGGAGCTGAGCGTCGAAGCAATCTCCATTCCCAGTTGTAATTTGAAAATGGGCTGTGATGACAACATATTGTAGATTCAGCCCCCCAGAAACCCGACAGTTCTTGAGTGATGTAGAATCCATAGTGCTGCTCCTGCATGAATTGGTTCAAGTGAGCTGAATTTGGTTAGTATAGAAAGAGAGAAAGAGAAAATGATGCACCTTGGACCCATTTAAATATCGACTCAGACACGACCTTATCAGTCCAACCTGATATTTTGCATGAATCCAGCAGCAATGTGTCCATTCTCACCAGATACTTGAATGGATCCAATATAGTTTCCACAACCTTTTCTAATCTATTTACATCAGCACTTAAAAAACCGTAGATATTTGCATTACCATCAACATTTATATGTGCACACGAGTTTCTGACACTGATGACGGCCATAATAGAATATCAGTATGTACAGTACAAGTAAATCACAAATGCAACAAAACTGACATATTGAAGATAGGGACATTGACAGATATGGTAATAAAAAGAGTCAGTAATGCAAGTGTCAGGTCAGATGGAGCTTTTTGATGTCAAAAAATCAGATACTCTGTGATGAAGACGGCTGAGAAACCTAAAACACAGAACACCACCAAGGAATAGCATTACATTATCTCAACGAAACATGGCATTTTGATAGACAATGACTAACTGAAGTTTGTAAAATTGAAACAGAGCGGAAGCCAATATACAGAAACCATTCATTGTTATCAGTCATTACAGATATATACATCAATAAGCATACATCACCATGGACAAAACCCTGGAAATTAGATTGAAGGAATCTAGGCTTCCCCCCCCCCCCCCCCCCCCCCCCCCCCCCCCCCCCCCCCCCCCCCCCCCCCCCCCCCCCCCCCCCCCCCCCCCCCCCCCCCCCCCCCCCCCCCCCCCCCCCCCCCCCCCCCCCCCCCCCCCCCCCCCCCCCCCCCCCCCCCCCCC